CCTCACACACACTCTCCTTCCCTAGAATGACTGTGGCCTAAGGCAATGTTCTCTGCTATGTGCACTGAGGTAGTAGTGGGCTCAAGCTAAGAAAATAATCGGCCAGACTTGGTGACTCAGCCTCTAATGCCAGCACTTTGGGAGGTGAAACCGAGTGGATTGCTTGAGCCCGCGGGTTCGAGACCAGCCTGGGCAACTTGGCGAGACCTCATCGCTACAATAATCAGCCGGGCGTGGTACCATGCGCCTGGAGTTCTGGCTACTTGGAAGGCTGAGGCAGAAGAATCGCTGGAGCCCAGCAGGTAGAGGCCTCTGCACTCCAACCTGGGTGATGGAGTGAGAATCCAACTTAAAAAGAAAAAATTGCAGCTATATATATTTATATATATAGCTACTAAGGTGGCATCACTAGCTGTGGGATTGTTGTGGTTTAATAATTAGATCTGAGAACTCTACATTTAATTGCTTAATAATGGTAAGAATGATGACGATAATAGTCCCAACTCAATTTTATTGTGCACTTACTCAGTGCCAGTTACCCTTCCAAGCATTTTGAATGTATTAGACCATTTAATCCTCAAGCAACCCTATAAGGTAGGTTTTATTCTTATCCTTAAAGATAGACAAGGCAGCACAGAAAGGTTAAATACCTCATCTAAGGTCACAGCTGGGAAGTGGAAAAACAAGGATTGGAACCTCAGAAGTTTGGTTCCAGGACCCATGTTCCTAAGAATTCTACTATCTGCCTACCATGACAAAAATAAATGGAGTCCTTCTCCATAAAATTCAGTAGGAGCATTAAAACTGAATTTATTTATTTATTGTTTTTTGACCATTTGTTATGAACATTCTGAACAACCACAATAAAAAGGATTTCCCCCCACTCACATCTCCAGAAACGTCTTAGGAAAAGGTACATGGAGCCAAATGCGGGATGTGAGTGTTTTTGCAGATTCAGGCTCCAAAGAACAGAAAAGCAGAAAAAATAAACAATGGTGTTTTTAAACAATGAATGTTGTTTTTCTTTAACCATAAGGGAATCTTAAAACTTGACAAACCCATTCAGCTTTCAAAGCATTCCACATTCTCCACCCACAAGCAAATGCCAGAAGGTGCCAGTTTGAGCCAACTTTGAGCTCAGGAATGATTTTCTAAATACTGGATCAGATTTCTTGAATGTCCACACTCTGCATATAGATACTTACTCTTGACCTAATTGGCCTGCTGAAAAGTGCTTAGCAATTTATCAAGTGATTAATTTAAAAAGAAAATTTCAGCAAGAGATGAGATAGTGAGGCACAAATGCAGAAACAGAAAATGATAGGGTATTACTACTTCAAAAAGATTGAAAATGACTGCCTAGGGTCTTTGAAATTTTAGAGCTAGGTTGTGCATAGGCTCCATTTTAATGAAGTATTTTCTGGGAAAGTTTCTGATTACATAAAGAAAGTAATTCCCTCAATTTGCAGGAAATTATTCTTTTTGGAGAGGACAAAGAAATTAATGTTTAATATGCTTATTACATTCATTCCGTTAACATTTACTGGAAGCATGCTCTGTGCCCAGCACCATGCTAGACACTGATATAAAAATACAAAAGACAAGACTCTTGTTCTTTCCCCTAGCTGGGGAGCTAGACAAACAAAGGATTAGTGTATTAAATGCAACAAAAGAAACATGCACTAGGTAGACTTGTGGAAAGTTAGGTTAGAGGGATAAACAGAAAATGTGTGCTAAGATTTTGGACTTAATTCTTTAAATGTTGGACAGCCATTAAGCAAAAGTGATCATGCTGTTATAATGTGAAGAATGGGTTGTATAGTAGCGAAACATCAAAAGCAGATTGAGTTCTACTCTTCATAAAAATCATCCAACAACGCTCTGATACCTCTTTTACTCTCCTGTGTTCCCCAAAACACACACTTTAGAAATTATCTAATCTTTTAAAAGCGCTATTTAGTTTCCAAGTTTTTGAGGTTTTTCCAGATATCTGTTATTGGTTTATATTTTAATTCCATTGTGGTTGGCGAACATATTTTTTATGACCTGAATCCTTTGAAATTCACCGAGACTTGTTTTATGGCACAGAATATGGTCTATCTTGGTACGTGTTTCATGTACTCTTGAAAAGAATGTGTAATCTGTTGTTGGGTACTTCTATGCTCTGTAAGTCACTTAAGTTGGGTTGGCTCAGAGTCTTGTTCGTCTTCTATGCCCTTACTGATTTTGTGTATTTTTGTGCTATTAAACATTGAGAGAGGGGTAATTAAATTCCCACTATAATTGTGTTCTATAGGTTTTTGCTTCATGTATTTTGAAGCAGTTGGTAGTTGAATATTTAGCATTGCTGTATCCTCTTGCTAAACTGATGCTTTTATCATTAAGAAATGATCTTCTAGCCAGGCTCGGTGGCTCAGCCTGTAATCCCGCGCTTTGGGAGGCTGAGGTGAGTGGATTGCCTGAGCCTGCGGGCTTGAGACCCGTCTGGGCAGCGAGACCTCATCTCTACAATAAATCAAAAAATCAGCTGGGCGTGGTAGCGCATGCCTGTAATTCCGGCTACTCGGAAGGCTGAGGTGGAAGGATAGCCAGAGCCCAGCAGGTCGAGGCTGCGGTGGCCGGGAGCGGCCACTGCACTCCAGTCTGGGTGACAGAGTGAGATTCCAACTCAAAAAACAAAAGAAATGATCTCTTTATTCATGATAATATTCTTTGCTATGAAATCTACTTTGATATCAATATTGCAATATTGCTACTCCATCTTTCGATTAATGTATCTGATTGGTGTATCTTTTTCCAGCCTTTTAATCTGCTTGTCCTTTTTAAAAAAAAGTGATTTTTAAAAAATCAACTGTATATACATAGAGGGATTAAAAAAAAAACAGAATTAATTTTTGGATGGCAAGCCCCTTGTAGTACAGCCTTCCCCTGCTAGGTAAGTGTGCTAGGAACCTACTAGCATGGACTTACCAGCTCACGTTGTGAGAGGCTGAGTTCGGCTTCAGTGAATTTTGTTTTTGGAGATTCAACATGTTCCCCATTTCATGATGGATGATATACAAGTGCACCTGCCCACACCGCACTTAGTGTTCAGCAGTTTTTGACCAAAAACGGTGTGACCCCTGTGCCTCACCCTCCATATTTACCCAATCTCGTCCTGAGCGACTTTACATTTCCCCAGATAAAAAAAAAAAATCCTCAAATAGAAACATTTTGCCAATGTGAAAGAGTTGGAAACAGAAAAATGGCAGAAGTACTAAAAGGTATCAAAATTGACAAGCTTAAAAACTGTTTTGAGCAGTGGAAAAAGTCTCGATAGGTGTACTGCATCAAATGGAGAGTACTTTGAAGGTGACCGAAATTTAAACATGTAAGAATACATCATTTTAAATAAATAACTTCCGGTTTTTTGGGGTCCTCCCTTGTATTTATGGTGTACAGTATCTGTTTTAAAATAAGTACACGTTGTGGAATGGCGAAATCATTTAAATGTAAATGTTCCAAATGCCTCAAATACAAGTAGAGATTGTCAGATTGGAGGAAAAAGCAGGCATGAAGGTCAGGTACTGAACTAAGTATCTTACACAGTCTCATGAAACCCTCTTAACAATCACGTGAGGTAAGCATCATTGTCCCGCTTCAAATATTTTTTAAAAATGAGGCTAGGATTGGTTAAGCAGCTTCTCCAAGCAGCAAAGCAGGGATTCACACTTGGGCATGGTAGAGCCCTAGTAGGCCCGTTGATACTGGCTTGCTTTCCTTCCCTTCAATTCAACAACACAGAGTAACAGCTGCATGGAGGAACTGTGCTAGTTTTTGTGCCACACGGTGACAAGTTTAACTGTCTGGGATGAAACCCAGTTTGACAGGCTGCGTGACCTTTTGAGCTGTGTATTACCTACCTTTAAGCTTTAGTTTCCTCATTTGTAAAATGGAAATAGTAATACCAGCCTCACTGTGCTACTGTGCATTAGTTGAAGGTGTTTTTGTTAGCTAAAGCTATACCTCACAGATCATAGGAGAAATATCAATTTGTGCAATTCTGCCCCAAAACAAAAATAGTGTTGATAAGAGAGACTTGTTTAACATGTTGCATCACAGAGATACACTATAGAAGTAACTATCTTATTTTTACTTCATAATATTATAGGAAGTTTTGGTTTCTTCTCTGAAAATCCTGATGCCATCAATCAGTCTTAATTTAAAAAATTTTTTCACTTTATTTTTAAATTTTCTTAGAAAGTAGGATGGGCCGGGCTCGGTGGCTCAGCCTGTAATCCCAGCACTTTGGGAGGCCAAGGTGAGTGGATTGCTTGAGCCCGTGGGTTCGAGACCCGCCTGGGCAACTTGGTGAGACCTCATCTCTACAATAAATCAAAAATTAGTCAGGTGTGGTAGCGTGTGCCTGTAGTTCCAGCTACTTGGAAGGCTGAGGCGGAAGGATTGCCGGAGCCCAGCAGGTTGAGACTGCGGTGGCCGGGAGCGGCCACTGCACTCCAGTCTAGGTGACAGAGTGAGACTCCAACTCAAAAAAAAAGAAAGTAGGATCTATTGAGAAGACAGGAAAGCTCAATCAGTCTTCTTTAAAAGAAATCTCTCAACTGTTATATTTTTGAATAAAATTTTTCTTAGAGTAAAAATGTTAATCCTAGTCTTTCTTTCCAGAATAAAGGATTGTTTAGATTCCTTGCCCTCTTACTTTGGACACCTTTGCAGATACCTGGAATGAATAACTTCAGTTTAGGTTATATTATTATCTGAAATATTAACATATAATTTGAAAAAACAAAATACTATCTTGGGTGTTAAGCAGAAAGCTTATTTTCCTCTCTTTTTTTTTTAGTAAGATTTAAGCATTAGGATCATTAAATATATTTACCTTGGAAAGAAAATTAATTTGAAAAAATCTGTTTAAATCCAGCATGACCAACGGCTGAACAAGAAGTTGATCATTCTTCTAAGATAACAGTGTTTTTCCTGAACAAATAATTGAAAGACACAAAATTTCAAAGATATTTTATTCAAAATTCTCCATCTAGGAGAAAAGATATATAACAATGTTTACACATGCTTTAATAACTTATTTCACTGTACAACTCACATTCTCTATAACAGTACAATAAACCAGCAAAGGAAAATAACCAGTCAGCACTTAAATAAAAGTCTATTGTGTAAAAAACACTGAGTATGGGACACTCCAAGGTGGTATCTATATAGTTTTCCATGACTGAGCTACAGTACATCAGTCACTAGTCCAGTGTTTGTCTAAAAATCAAGATGTCTATCTCTTCCTGACTCATGATGTGAAAGCTATTATGACCTCTCAGAACAGAACATATCCTTTTGTTAAATCTGTTGGGTGAGGGCAGAAGGGCTCCATCACTTTTATCCCTTTCTTATAAATATATTTTCCCTTTTATGTTACTTCTACAGTCTTATAAAAACATTTATTTGTGTTTGTGTGCAGAATGATGTTAATCAGTTATTTTATAGCCAGCAAAATGGTCCAAACATATTAAGGAAACAAAAGAAACAGACCACTTAGTTCTGCCAAAGTAGCACCTAGAAAAATAGCACTTACAGTAAAATTTATCCTGCTATTCTTTATGTGATGCCGAGGCAAATGGCAACAACTTTAAAAATGAGAAGAAATGTAAGAAGGAAGAAGACAAGGAACAGTTTTCTGCTCCTAAAAAAAAATTTTATTAGTATATTCTCTAATGCATTTTATAACCTCAGAGTTACAATGATTGCCACTGCAGATACATGGTAAAATTCTGCAAAAGAAAAACAAGATGGAAATGACTGACCAGTGAAATCTGAACTTCTTCCAAGTAATTAGATTTTCCAAGGGGAAAAAAGGCACAGCAGGTGCACATTTCAATTTGGCTCAAAAATAATGAGAACCAATTTAAAAAGTTGGCAACGAGTAAAACACAAAGCACAGTTTCCTACATCTCTTAGACAGAGATCAACTATATAGGATATTGACAACAACAATAAAACAAACAAAAACACCCTGACACAGTGGTTCACCGTAATCAAGGACTATATATAACTGCATGACATTTCTACTCAGACTGCATCCTAAGGACTAAATCTACAAAGTAGGATCTAATGGTTAATTTCAATTAAGTACCTGCTTGGTCAATTTTTTTTTTCTAAATCAAGCTAACTTCCTTTCTGTGGAACTGAAATGGTTTAAATGCTCTAATTTTCATTGGTTGCAAAAGTATTCCAGTAATCCCACACACCGACAAACACCAAAAGATGGAAAGTCAATTAGTACTCCTGTAAAAGCTAACTTAGATTTCACTTTGATACCTGTAAACCATGAATCAGAAGTCTCAAAAAACAGTAGTTGTGGTCAAGTTTATATCCTATTATTATATCTTTAAAAGAATATTTATTATAATTGTAAACATAAGTCTGTATTCCAAAAGCATGAATCTAGGAACAGAGACATTCAATATAATGATGCACCTGACATACTCTCGTGACAACTGTAGTGTAACCAACTTTAACTACAACTGCTAAGTAGGACTCTGAGGCACAACCCGGGGGAATGTTTCCCCACACCACTGAGCTACGTTAGCAGCAATCATGGCTGTGATGAAATATACTTATTAAGTTACACATTTAAAAAGTCATAAGAACATCGCGTTCTTGTACACTAGTGTAGAAAGGTCTTCCAAAGATAAAAGAGTGTAGGCCTGGTTTAATTTTCTCAGCTAGAGCCATTATTATGTTAAGATCGCCCTCTGCTGTTAAATCAAGGTCTATCTTCAGGTTCCGAAGAGATTTAAAGGGCTTTTTTCCTTTCTGCCTAAAAGTAATGAAAAATTGCAAAAATTATAATATAGAAAATGTCCAACAGGAACAAAACAAAACAAAATGTACAAAGGTTTTTATTCCATGTAGGAGTTTTACTCACGTATCATCTTCTATATATTTTATTAGTGTCAAGGCTTTTCTGTGAAGGACAAGTAGAAACTGTGCGAGGAAAGTACTCCTTAGAGATAAACCGGGTTTCAACTGAAAGACCTGCAGGAAGAGGAACCATTTTAGAAGACAGTTTGTTCCCATTCTACTTGCACAGCATGTTTCTATGGCAGTGCTGACAGCACCTGGCAGACAAAGCACACCAGAGCATCTTTTCAAGCATTTCCACTGATGCTCCCTATCAGAGAGGAGCATGGTAGAGGCACTGGGTCTAGGAGCAATCTGACAGGCTTTTAAAGTTTTCTATTTTATCTGTGAAAATGCACTCAAATTTTGCATTCTAGCTCAGAATATATCCATGTTTTGTTTCATTATAAAACTCATTATGTATGTTATTTTGTATTGTGTGAACTTTTCCTGCTCGATCTTCAAATAAACTTTGTCCCAGAAGTTGAGACGATGGTTTTGAAACATTCACATATCTATACTTCTGCTGGGGGGCAACGGGGTGCAAGTAGAATGTGTGCAAGTGACGTGCAGGGGTGGATAGTGGGAGGGATTTATTTCAGCTTGAGAAGCATAGAATCATGCTTAAAAATTTTCCTTGAACTTTGCAGTATGTTACAGACAACACAGACATTTAACTCCAAAATTTTGAGTTAAAATAAGGATCTCATTATTTCAAAGCTACATTTATGATACAGTTTTCTGGCCTGATCCCCAGAACGGTATTACGACAAAACTGTTATATTAAGAAATATGTTCCATATAATCTATACTTTTTTCAAATGTGTAAGTAGATATTTTTTAAAAGAATGAAACAATAAAGATGCTATCACTTAAACAGAAGTATACTAAGCTTTGGAAATATTTTTGACTCAATTTAGGCAAATAAACACCCTCCCTCGGTTTAAAAAAAGGAAGAAAAACAAGTCATTGAGTTGTAGGTTAGTGTGTGAAATTAAAATATTTGTTATTTGATGTGGGGAAATGCTGTATATTTGTTAATCTGTAGGCTACTCATTATTAATTCAGAAGAAAATCATTTAGATACTTTTTAGAAAGACAAGATACTATAAAAAGATAAAGACAATTCATTAGACAAGGATTTAATTTTATGATGTTACAAATATATTTTAGTACAGCAATTATAGGATATATTGAGAAAGAAAACATGTCATATAATTCACTCTGACAATCTCAAGCTCAACATTTACCTGATCCAGGAAGGCTTTTACTAGAGTGTCTCTGTGTAAGACATCTTGAAAAATATTTCTATGAAGAGAAGAAAAAAAGTCCAAATATTGAAATGGCTATACAATGCTACTTTCCACAACCCCTCATTCCAACCAATATTTTAAATTCTTATAAATGGGATATTATAAACAAACATATTTGTAAGAATACAGACACATACATTTGGAGATATAAATTATATTATTCGCTTCAACTCAAGGATATATTTGTATATTACTGGTGTTTGTTAGGCCAACATATAATTATTTTCTCTAAAGAGTGTAAGTACTCCTCAAAAAGAGTATGTATGTATCTATCAGTCTATTTTAGTATTCTCACCTACAAAAAAAAATTGAGAGCAATTAATATAACTGCCAATTCTTGCCATCTCAAAAAACAACCCCCCAAAAACCCAGCAACAAAAAAGTAAGCACACCACTACTACCACCAAAAATCTAAACCAAGTACAAATGCAAGGAAACATTTGAGTGGGATTAGAGAACACATCAGATGACTATCCACTGGGTATGCCAGCAGCAGGCCCACCACCTGCAAGCAACATGAACCCACTATCCAAGAAACCATTACCTACCTTGCAAGACAAGACTAGAATGAGAAATCAAGACATAATGCCACTTGAGAACATCTGTGGTGTTAGTAGGTGCTAAAACAAACAAAAAAGACTGTTTCCTTCTTGGGCCCCAACTCCTTTTCTTTTTTTCTTTTCCATCTTCCCTAGATTCAGCTCAGGTTAGAGGAGTAATATAACAATAAGGGAAGGGGATTTTAACTGAAAGCAGTAGAAATCATCCTGAAAGTGACAGGAGTGGCAGACAGAATGGGTATGTACAGAAGCAAAGAGGAAAGTACCTCAAGTTTCCAAGTCTTAGGAGATGGGTGTACCAAACTAAACTACAGAAGAAAACTGAGAAAGGGAAAAATAAATCAGCATTTCATGATTACTGGCTTGGCACTGATAGCAGCCTTTCTCGAGCTTTGGAAAGAGAATAAGGCTGTTTAAGTCCAGTGTTCTGATTATACTTACTTCATTAAATGGAAGTCTTGGTCATGAAAGAATTGGATAATGCAAAATGTTAAAAAATAATATTTCAGTGACTGATTTTTAATGTATTGGCAGTGACTAAATTTATTTTAAAAAGTTAAGATGTAAAATAACTTAAAAGTAACATTAAGAAATGCACTTAAAAGTAAAATTAGTGGCTGGGCTCAGTGGCTCAGCCTGTAATCCCAGCACTTTGGGAGGCTGAGGCGAGTGGATTGCCTGAGTCCTTGGGTTCGAGACCCACCCAGGCAACTTGATAAGCCCTCATCTCTACAATAAACCAAAAATTAGCTGCGCATGGTAGCGCGCGCCTATAGTTCCAGCTACTTGGAAGGCTGAGGTGGAAGAATCCCTGGAGCCCAGCAGGTTGAGGCTGCGGTGGCTGGAAGCGTGCCACTGCACTCCAATCTGGGCAACAGAATGAGACTCCAATTTAAAAAAAAAAAAGGAAAATTAGTCTATAATACATAAAAGTTAACAATACAATCCAGTGGTTGAAAATATTATTTTTTGAGCAATTTTATGTTTAAAAAATTTACTCAGAGTTGGAAACCACATATTAAAATTGATATTATTTTGTCATGATCAACAAAACAAGAATAACTTACTCATCAGCAAAATAAACATAGCTGGCTAAAAATGAGTAAGAAATGTTAGAAGTATACACATATCTTCTCTAAAAACTAAGCAAAAGTACTAAGTGGTCGCATATTCTGAACTTCACTAAATTCCCCTAAAAAGCTCCCAAGCAACCAGTCAAAAAAGGGAAAAACCTAAGCACTTTAGGAAAGAAGAAAATGTTTCAAAGCATGGATTAATTTCGACGATTTCTACACATGTACCAAAGTTGTCTACATGTGAAAAATTAGTGACGTGGAAAGCCAGTTTGACCAATTCATTTTCTGAACCAATTCCCCACAAATTTTCGAAAGAACCAACAAGAACTCTGGAAAATGGGGCAAAGATGGGGTCCTAACTAAGTCACCTTTCTGCACCTGGAGACAGGTGAAGATCCCATTGACATGATGTTCCTATTCCATGCTTTTGGTAAACATTTAGTGTGTAGTTACTGGTGCTTAACATGTCCTTAGAGACATAGAACAGGCTGCTTGCTCCAATTTTATTGCTGCATTATACACTTAAACATAGATTATTACAGCTAACAGTGAGCACATTCCATGTGCCAGGCATTATTCCAAGTACTTTTAATTGATAAAAGCAGACCATAGTAGTATAATTATTTTCCTGATTTCAGAACATCATTTAAGTACTTTCTTGGATTTTATGATTATAGACTTATCATCATTACTTTTTTCTAGTTGGATTCACCCTTGACAAGTAATTATCATTACTTTCCCTTTTTAATTTACTGATTAGACTTTCTGATAAGAAATGACTAACAATATGAATATAAAATAAAAGAATCATTAATACAACTATTAATACAGTTCAACAGTTTTGCTGTATTTAATATTAACATGTCACAAAAAAAGAGGTTTAGAATTACTTCTTTGGTTTAGTTAATAAACCTGTTCAATAACTGTTATACATTAGACTATAAGCAGTGCAGGGGCTGAGGCTGTCTGGCTGGCCACTATTAACTCCAGCATCTAGCACAATGCCTAGTGGTTCAATATACATTTGTTAAAGAAATATTTCAATACTTATTTTAAGGGCTAATCCTATATAGATAGGATTTGAGGATTAATACTATATAGATATTTCCTAAAACGGTTTAGGAAAAATGCAATTGTATGAAAGAAATGAACATTTAAAAAAAAAATGCTTGATTAAATGTTTCTTCAAGCATAATTCTACTAGTAATATTTATTTCCCTTTAAACACATTGTTTTTATTCATAAAAGGTACAGTTTCATAGTGCATGACAATAATACTGAAAAGAAAGGCAGAGCATTACATACAAATCAGGAGTGAAGCTTTCATCGGTGTAGATGATAGTATCCTGAGCCATGTCTTCTTCTGAAGTGGCTCTCCAGAATGCTGTCAGCTCTGATCTCATGTATCTACGCTGATTATAAATATGTTCATGACAGGGTGGCATCTGCTTGACAGTATTAACATCCACATCTATGTGTGTGGTGGGATATGGAGCATACATGACCTGCCGGAAAGGTAGCACAAAGCTTCCAGTTGAATCCTGTCAAAATGAAAGGAAAATTTACTGTCTTATATGTCAAAAGATTTTAAAAATTATTTTCAATTAAAAAAGCTGGCTTTGATTTGGCAAATCCATTTCTTTCTTTTTTTTTTTTTGAGTTGAAGTCTCACTCTGTCGCCCAGACTGGAGAGCAGTGGCACGCTCCCAGTCATTGCAGCCTCGACCTGCTGGGCTCCGGTGATCCTTCTACCTCAGCTTTCCAAGTAGCTGGAACCACAGGTGCGTGCTACCATGCCCAGCTAATTTTTGATTTATTGTAGAGATGAGGTCTCGCCAAGTTGCCCAGGTGGGTCTTGAACCTGTGGGCTCAGACAATCCACTCACCTCAGCCTCCCAAAGCGCGGGATTACAGGCTGAGCCACCGAGTCCGGCTGACAAATCCATTTCTGAAAATTTATCCTAAGAAACTATTCATGCTTGTGTACAAAGTTTTAGTAACAGGAGTGCTCATTATACTGGTTTTAACAGCAACACATCAGAAACAACCTAAGCATCCAAAAGGAGAAGTGGGTAAATAAATAAAAATGGGTTTATTATTTAACTGCTAAAAATAAAGTTGTTCCAGAAGTTTGTATTGATATAGAAAGAGACTTACAATCTGCTGTGAAAAAAGTATATAATCCAATGGGAGGAGGTAGTTTAAAAAAAAAAAGTCATACAAAAGAAAAAAAAAAAGGCTAGAAAGATAGATATATACCAAATATTAACAGTGGTCACTCACTGGATTGTGAAATTACAAGTGACTTTTTTCTTTCTTGATTATTCTATGCTCTTTTTAAGTCTCAATAAATATCTACTTTATAAGTGAAAAATGTACTTATTTCCAAGTATAGTAAGTTGGGTAGCCAGTTACCATGTAATAAGTACCTACTATATACGAGGTACTGTACAATGTGCTACAAATAGAACAGAAGACAAAAGATATTTCCATTTTTTTCACTCTTAATAATGTTGTGAGAACCGTCTTTGTGTCAAGGTGTTTCTGGTAGGCTCTATCATTTGTATTTGCATGGAGAACAAGTAAATTTTTTTTATTAAATCATAGTTGCAAACTTTCCTCTATGCATCTAGTATGGGTCCCTTTCAGAATGAACTAAAAAGACATACTTAAATGAGAGGGTGCCAAGGAAATAAAAGTATTAAGCCCTTTATTATGCCTTCAGCAAGAAGTTCTAATTTTCAGATTTGTAAAATTCCAAATAGAAATGTGTTTCCTTTAACTAGTTTCTATATTTAAATACTATTATTCTGAGCCCATAGCAGCACATTACTGAAAATGCAAAAGCTGAATATAATTTTTAAATAATTTTTTTTTCATTTTGCTGTGCTTATATCCTCAAGAAAGCATTCACCATGAATCACCATTAGGAAAGCTATTTCTTATCTTTTACTACAACTGAAACACTAATAACAGATTCATCAAAGTGAACTGTCTTCCACTTAAATATTAAAAATAATTGCCAATTTACATTGATCTGTTTTGCTCCTTGAAAAATAGACTCAAACGAAAAAATATATAATTTTTTCTAATATATATTAAAACTATATATAATACATACATAAAAATTGCTCAAATCCTGTACACTTACTAAAGATGCTTTAAATTATTTTTGATACATATAAACACAGAATGGTAAAACAAAAATTCAAATCTGTTCAGTAAAAAAGAAATGTTCCCATTTTATATGTGCAAACTGTTCAAGCTTGTATTTAAAAAAAAAAAAAAAGTCCTGAGGCTAGACATAGCCACAGGGAACCACCTGGAAAATAAAAAGGTTTCACTGATAATACTAACCATAAATTCATAAGCCATATATACTCTATGCTCAGAACTGTGTAAAGAAAGTCAGTTCCTGGGCATATAAATATGATTAAATGCTAATATTTTTAAAATGTTTATAAAGAGTCTCAAAAATGATTAAAAAGTGGTTTCACTTGTCATAAATGGAAACAATACCTTTAGGAGGCCTTGTACAAAGAGCCCTGACTCATATTTAAATGAAGATTCTGCTTCACATAATCTGGAACATTTTCTCTCTGCTGGAGTCAGAAAAAGGCATAATGTTCTCACTATCTATAAAAGAAAAAATTTTAGCATTAAAATATGAAGGAAAAGACCATTGATTTGCTTATGGAAGAAACCTGAACAGAGATTTCAGTTGTTATTGCCAGTAAAATACATCCTAAGAAATAAGTATTCCTTAGTCACCTGGAATAAAAGTCCATGGATATAAGAGATGTTGCTTGAAACATGGATTCTGTGTCAAAGACATTTAGGAAATGCTTGGTAAATGTACTGTATGGTATCTCAAAACCTTTAACATGTGAATATATCCTGTGACTCTCCAGATGAATGAGACCATATGCAGTCTTTCTCATGGCACCCTCACTTCAGTGGGAAATAATGACTTAATGCAATCACTGATTGCATCCCTACCCAGCAGCAACTGTTTTTCAAAGAAGCAAACTATCTTGGACAAGAAAAGTAAATGCACTTTAACTAAGCAGGATTAAGGCTTCTGTTTAGTAGTTCTATGTGAAATTTGTTTTAAGAAACATCAAAAAGGATACCTGCACAATGAACATTTGTATACCTAACCCTGAATTGTACCCCACAATTTCAAAATAAAAATTAAAAGAGAAAAAAAAGGAATATCAAAATGTGTCCAAATCCTTCAAGGGAAAGGGAATTAATTCCATTGAATTTGACTTGAAATAAGCAGGTCACTGGTTGGGGTTTAGAAATCCCTCTGATTCTAATAGGATTTGACCTACAGTTCTATTAGGAAAAATAAAAAGCCAAGTAACTATGTTGAAATTCAGACCATATCCAGAGTTATCATGTTAAAGCAATGGTTTTCAACCATTGAACAGTGGTCACCTCTTTCTCACATCATAAAGATAAAAGGGAAGTTGTTCTGCCTCAAGAAGATGGAAAATCTGTTTAAAATGTTTAAAAAACACAGCCCCAACATGGAGCCTTTCTCTTTCCATAAAGCTGACTAAGTTTCTCTGTCAACCTAAGGCTTTAGAGGTCACAGATGGAAAGCCACTGTTTCAGGGTAACAGAAATAATAAACAAGATCACTAGTTCCTATGTGCAATGATAGAGGCATGCTAATCTCTCATAAATGGTTATATGAGAAATACAATTTTGATAAATTAAGGCTCAGGTGAATACACAAGGTAGCTTATCAGAGAAACAATAAATTATAAATATCTTTATAAAGCAAATATTCATTCCTAATATAGTTCCTATGTAAAATTTTTTAAAGTTTGTCTAAATTGATGTGTGTATATATGTATATACATGTGTGTATGTGAATGTGTGTGTATATATACATATATGTGTGTGTATGTATATGTATACACACATGAAAGTGTGTGTATATATACTATATATATGTATATGTGTATATGTGTGTGTATGTATATACACACACACATACACATCTCTGGACTCTTTCTAACTAATGGTCAACAAAGAAAAGTGCAACATCCCTTAGTTTATTGTCTAATGCTTGGAAATGTAACTGTTCATTAATTCTTTATTCACTCACATAGCACTTAAGGAAGTAGTCATAAACATTACTGAATAATGTATAATTTTTAATGACCACTTTATTGCAACAGCTTCCTAAAAGGGATAGATTTAGAAGGAAAACCAAGATAAAATTAAGATGAATGAACAGGTAACATTTTTTTGGAAAGTACATGGTATCTTCACATCTATCAAACATTGAGAAATAGAAGATATAAATATCTGATTTTAAAATAGCCTCAAGACCATTTATACACAACTGGGATGGGTATTTACAAGTTATCAAAATAAATCGATAAGCTACTCCTATTCAAACTCATTGTTGCCACGGGGTGGTGCAATTTAGTGAGATTATATGCCTCCTAATACTATCAGATCATTTTAAGTGCAACCTGATATTTAAATGATAATCCATGATTTAGTCTCAATATTAAAAAGTAAGATCATTTGCTAAATTATACAATAAATTACCTTATTTACTTTCTCTGCACTGCTACCTACTACAACAGAACAGCCACAGGTTTGCAAGTGTGAGCTGATGGCACTGTAAGTTAAAGAAAACAGATTAAAAAGATTGGTTGTAAGACAGTTTCACAATCTACAAAAAAACAAAAAAGTGAGCTCTTCCAATAACTCAGAACAGCTTTATGTATAAGGTCATATACATTATACTTATATACTTATATGTATGTCATCTTTTATTTGTATAGGACTTCATATTTTCCAGAGACCTTTCATAGAAGTTCTCTAATTTGAGTCTTACAATAACCCAGTTAATTAGCAAAATAACATCATTTTATTTACTTTCTGAAATACCATTTTATAGCAGAAGAAACACATGTTGAGGGAATAAGTGATTTATTTAAAGTCAAATGGGGTTAAAGATGATGTAGGAGTGGCTGACACTGAACAGATACAAGACTAAGTGCTTCTGATTTCAATCATTGAAGCTGTTAGGTTAAATACACTCATGCCTCTGATACTCCATCATGAGCCTAAAGGAAAAGACTGTGGACACGAAAGTGAATACTTCACCCTTTCACTTCTCATTTTTAAAAATAAAATTTCAGGCAAGCCCTGGGTCCCCTCCCACTGTGGGAGCTTTTCTGTCCTCTTAATAAATCCTGCTTTCAAATAAATAAACAAATAAACAAACAAATAAATAAAATTAAAAATAAAATTTCATGATGATCTGCGATTGTAAAGAAACACTAAAATGGAATATGAGAATATACATAGAGCACTCTGTATAGGGACTAACATGTAGACATTCAATAAATATTGGCTATTTCTGCTACCACTTTCCTTAGAAGAAATATAAATAGCCGGGCACAGTGGCTCATGCTTGCAATCCCAGCACTTTGGGAGGCTGAGGTGAGAGGATTGCCTGAGCCCATGGGTCTACAATAAATCAAAAATTAGCTGGGCATGGTGGTGCAAGTCTGTAGTTCCAGCTCCTAGGAAGGATGAGGCGGAAGGATCATTTGAGCCCAGCAGGTCGAGGCTGCGGTGGCTATGAGCAGTGTGCCACACCACTCCAGCCTGGATGACAGAGTGAGACTCTAACTCAAAAAAAGAAATATAACTAAACAATATTAGCTATTATTAAGTACTTTTATGTGCCAGGCACTGTTTTAAGCGCTTTATATGATTTATCTCACTCAATGCTTACAACAACCATATAAAGTAGGTATTATTATTATGATTCCTATTTAAGAGATGAGAAAATGGAGGATAAAAGAAGTAGGTACATTGCCCAAGGTTACATAGCAGGAACCCAGGCAGCCTGGTTTTAGAACTCATACTCTGAAGTACTAAACTCCATTGTTAGATGGAAGCAATCAGTAATATATGAATAAACTTTTTCTAGGCCTAAATAACTTAAGTACATCTACAACGCAATTTAATTTAAAAGGGTTCTGAGTTTCAGCTTTAATGATAAATAAACCAAGAAACCAGAGCCAAGCAAGAGACCATGATTTCTTCTCTGGGCACTACGGGAAATGCAGCTTCTTTAAATAGTAAAAGGAATAACATGAAATACATCACAAACACATACTTGGTGAAAAAACAACAAAAATGTAAGCAATGGTTTAAATATGCAATGTTGTCTCTAGAACAACCTAAATATTATTTTCTTTCTTCCAAATGTTGCCACTGGTGAACATAAGATTTATAACTGCTTCAACCACCTTTTAAGAAAAGAAACAAAATTCTTACTTGAGAAGAAAGCCTTCATGACAACTGTCACCAATATCATCATCATTGAGTATTGTATCAGCTATCTAAAATGTACCACACACACAAAAAAAAAGCAAAAAAAAATTAGTCTGGCTGTAATGTAGTAGTGAAATAATACCAAAATTTTCTTAAATCTACATTCAACATAACACATGGCCTTCATTTCTGAGAATCAAGACTCCCTATAAAACAATTTCTGCACCAGCATAAACTTTCAGAAGAACAAATGTGAAAGCTGGTCCGGCAAGTTAAACAATTTTTACAAGAACAACTTCCTCTTTTGAGCTGTCAGAATTGGGAGACCAATCTTAATAACAAAAGCAGAAAGCAATAAGAATAGCTTTCTGAAAATATCTCTATACACTCACAGTGTGTGATTCAAAACATCCTCAACAAACGACTAAGGAAACTAAATTGGTGAATATAAGTAAACTTTCACTAATGGCCACTGAAGTGCACACTGCTTTGTTTTAAAAAGGAAGATATTAAATGCTAATTGCTTCTATAAAGGCAAAAGAAGGGGGATTCTCCCACTTCTACAAATTATAAAAGTGATAAAGTAAGCTAAATAAATTAAATTTTGTCATAACTATCACTGAACAAAAAAAGCCTGTTTTGTCATAAAATCCAGAATTTTTTTTTTGTATGCTTGTTTCTCAAAGTGGCTAATACTTCATATGAATACTATAAATGACAAAATGCTTGCTACCAAAATTAGAATATTACTAATAGATGCAATAGTAATATAACCCAAGGGAACTGATATAAAGGGCATGGTTGCTCTCATTTAATAATATAAAAAACTTACATCTATTTCTTCAGGAACACTGTGTGATTTCATAGATGAAAGTAGTTCCATGACAGGAATCACTTCTCCTGTAAGCATTGGTATGATACTCTGACCCTGCACAATAAAGTAAAATGAAGTGAGAAAAATCACATAATATGGGATAAGTTGGTCAATAAAAAAATTACAAATGAAAGCAAAGAATAGTACTCTTTTTTTCCTTTTTTTTTTGAGTGGGAGTCCCATTCTGTTGCCCAGACTGGACTGCAGTGGCACGCTCACGGCCACCTCAGCCTCGACCTGCTGGGCTCAGGTGATCCTTCCACTTCAGTCTTCCAAGTATCTGGAAGAAGAGGCGTGTGCCACCAAACCCGGCTAATTTTTTAAAATTTATTGTAGGGATGAGGTCTCGCCAAGTTGCCCAGGCTGGTCTCAAACCACTGGGCTCAGGTAATCCTCTCGCCTCTGCCTCCCAAAGTGCTGGGATTACAAGCATGAGCCATTGTGCCTGGCTAGAATAACACTCTTCGATAAAAATACTTGGTAACTTGTTGAAACATGGCCCCAAACAAGTCTGCTACTCAAAAATATTTCTAAAGGACACACATGCTACTTAAAACTCATTTTCATTCTTACAGGACTAATTTTCTTCAGTGAGCATGAATCACTGGTTTATCATTTACTGTTACCTACAATAATTAAATCAGTATGCCACATTTAGGCAGCATCTCCTTTGAAATTTATTTAAGATACTTTTAAAAAGTCTTGCTAATTAAAGGTAATCAATACATTTTGTATTTAAACATAAGGAGAGCCATAAAAATAATTTGAAATCCTTACCAAATGACTTAGTAGGAATGCTTGAATTAATACTTAACCTCCACATTCATAATAGGGTATAATCTACTGAAATGCAAATCAAAATAGTCACATATATCTTAAGAATCAATAAAGCAGAAAATTTCCTGTTAGAGTTATTTCAAGATAGCACTACTACTTATTATATCTAAAAAATGTAATTTTGAAATTTGTTGTTTTTAGAATCAAATTTAAAATTCAATATAAAACACAAATGTAAAGTATCTCAAATATGTGTGATCCCTCATTTACTCACTATCACAACCAATCCCACTTGTTTTTAACCAAACTGAATATATAAACTTTTAGGGATACAGAAGAAATTGTCAAATGTCTACCAATTTTTAGCCAAATGTATTTTAGAAATAATAGGTTATTCAAAATTAATTAGTAAGGTTTTCTTTTCCTCACACGTATTTCATGAAACCTAGAACCTAGAATAATTTTTTGAGTAGCCTTAGACACTATACTAATTTTATTTGGTCCTAAATAAAATTCTGCTTTTATTTCAGAGACTTTTGTTATGTAAGTTGCTTGAGAAAATAAATGTAATGCTACTACTGGAAATTGTATCCTAAGCCATAAATACATTTCTGTACAATATATAAAGTTTTATTTTTAAAAATTAATCTTGTAGTAACCTCCACAACTAGCCATTGTTTTTACTTTTTAAAGGAACCATTAAAATGCTTGTTTACAATTATAATTAACACATATACTCCAACAAGAATAATGTGTGAATCTGTTAAATTTTCTTTTTTATGGAGCAATTTTATCAGATGACAGCTATAAGCATCGCAAATCAGCACTGACTGAAGTTGTTTCATTTCAAACAAATACATCATCTTCAAACAGTATTTATTGTTCAAAATAAAGTCTCTGAAAGTACATAATGTGACACTTGTAAGGATTCAATCATAAGACAACTCCTCTGTTTTAGAAAAAATACTTTTGGGAAAATATCTCCTCTTAGGCTTAGGCATATGTAGTACTTCATACACAGTATCTCAGACATTTATCATTGTTGTAAGTGAATGGGTATCCTCACTGAAGTTCAGCAATAACAAAAACTCCTACAGGGTTGAACACAGAAGAGGTTCTAAAAGAAAATCCCTGTTTCTTTTCCTCTGTGTACTTCTCTACCTTGAACTTCTCAGCAGTACAATGTTTCTTCTTTAAAGCCCCAGCTTGTCTCAAATATACCTTCCTCCTGACACAGAAGGGTGGAAAGGTAGAATAACATTTAAAAGAGGGACAGAAATCCAGAATAGTGGTCAACTTAATTAGTATAGGTTTCTGGTTTGAAATAAAATCCCTGTAAAAGCAGAATTTTATTTGGTCCTAAATTTCCTTGTTTTGGAATAACTCTGCTTAATTATTCCATAACTAGCAGTTTAGAGGTTGGTGAAAGTTACCCCACTCCTGGAGACCCTGCTTATTCATCAGCAAATAAAGGCTTGACTTTTTCTGATGCATCTCAGACCTATCCCCAGAATTACATCCCCTGGACTGGAAAGGTATCTACAAAAGTACAAACATAATTTGGTAAAGGAGATAATTTTATAGGGGTTTGCATTTTCCTTGTTTATGTTCCCATATTTTCACAAGTTTTTATTTTTTATTTTTTGAGTTGGAGTCTCACTCTGTCACCCAGACTAGAGTGCAGTGGCCACTCCTGGCCACCACAGCCTCAACCTGCTGGGCTCTGGCGATCCTTCTGCCTCAGCCTTCCAAGTAGCTGGAACTACAGGCGCACGCTACCACACCCGGCAAATTTTTTGATTTATTGTAGAGATGAGGTCTCGCCAAGTTGGCCAGGCGGGTCTTGAACCCGTGGGCTCAGGCAATTCACTCACCTCAGCCTCCCAAAGCGTGGGATTACAGGCTGAGCCACCGAGCCCGGCTAGTTTTTTAAAAAAAATATATTTCTTTAAAGTATCACCTTAGTCATGCTAAGGAGAACCAGAGAAAAGTTAACCCAGACACACTTAGAACCCACAACATTTTGATATTTGCTTATTTTTCAACAGAAATGTTCTTGTAGAATGTAGTTTATAGGAAAAACACAAATGACACAAAATTAAAGAACAATAAGGAGAGTATACATGTTAAATGGGAGTAAGAGGGAAGAACTCTTTCTCCCTTGAAGATTTACCTTCAGAAGAACTCTCTCTACACGAAAATGATTTGCACTTAATTTCTGCAAGGAAACTCATATTTTTGTAATCATACTTCTTAAACTCTGGTGTCTATTCCCCAGAGGCATTCAAAGTCATAGGATAAACATGACACTTTTTCCTAGAGGGTTGATGTTACCATAAGACTGAACAGTAACAGTATAAAGAAGATCATTGGCAAATTTTACTATTAAAATAGATATATTATGAATAAAATGTAAATGCATGAGTTTTAAAAAGACACCACATATGACTTTAAGGAAATATTGTGCTTAGAGCTAGGCCTGCACCCCAGACAGACATGGACTCTCTTCCTGTTATAGTTACTTCTGTGGAGATGCTTAAGAAGTAATACCTTAAAAAAAAATCATAGGAAAAAAATAGTCTTGGATAAACAAGTTATCCAAAACTTATTTTGCGCAGACAGAAAAAACAGGAAGCAAAATATTAATTTGTAGATGCAATTACCATTTTCTTTTATTTATTTACTCTTCAGGTCTAAGAAATGAAAATTTTCGTTCAGCTTATTCTATATACCTCCATAAAAGCTCCACTCAGGGTCACTCTGAAAAACATGTCTTCAAGGTCTTAACGAAGTAGCCATGAGCCTGTATACAGATATATGCCATGGTAATAATGATATTTGAAGGTATGTAATCTATACTTTACCTGGTCTTCCATTCTCTCTGTGCCTTCTAAGATAATCTTCTGGACATTTTCTTGTCTTTCCTGGACAAGAAAAAATTTATTTTAAAAGCAACCCACAACATTTTGATATTTGCTTATTTTTCAACAGAAATGTTCTTGTAGAATGTAGTTTATAGGAAAAACACAAATGACACAAAATTAAAAAACACCCTTTATTCTGCAGTGAAAAAAAACCCAGAATTTAGCAGAAAATAGTCAATGTAACATCTGCATCGCTTTAAAAAGAAAAATAATAACTTGTACTTTGCAAATTAAATAAGATCAAGATGAGTCTGGGGAATATATAGCTTCCCAATTTTAAATAATTTTCATAAAGACCTGAGAGATAAAGAGGCAAGTCTACAAATATAGTACAAAACTATTCTTTTCAATGATACTATTTTTCCTTACTATTGGGTAAAAGCCTTATAAAATTGATAATGTATCAATGAACTTCCAAGTTAGTATCCCACTGGAAAACAGAAAGGCAAATTCAATTTGTTCTTTAGCTAATCCAAAAAAATATGGAAATGTAAATATCACCACATATTCAACAATAGGATTTAAGGGAAAACAGTAATTTCCTCTAGCTTAAACCATAAAATTGATTGGATTATCTCCTGGGAAGTATAGTCCCGCCTCCTCATTTAACAAATTTGGTAACTTGGCAGAAAGTTAAAAGGACCAAAGGCTACATGACCAACAGTTTATGAAATGCTTATTTTGAGCTGCTATAGCTATATATAGTAGTATGCGAAAGACAGGGTGTTTTCTCCTCCCACTGAAAGGGGGGAAGAAACCGGTTTTAGAGTCAAAGGCTTCCAAGACAAATTCAGGCTCTAAAAATTTCTTAATTTATCTAAAGAAGCTTTTCATCTGTAATGTGTAGCTACCATCTACCTTCTAGTTATTATGAGCTCACGGGCATCAGACCACATCTAACTATATCTAGTACAGTAGACACAAAATAAGTGATGTCCATAGTTTGACATTCATTGCATATAGTTTCTAAAAATTAGCTATAAATGTATTCGAAAATAAACTTCCAGTGGCTAAATAAACCACTCACCTTATGCATCCATATCCTTCCTTTCCGGATAATATGGGTTAATCTATCAACACACACTCTATGAAGTGGAAGGTAGAAACTAAGTTCTGTCTGTGGGAGTATAATTGATAGTCCATATGTACTCCGATCTCCATTCCAGTTTCCATCAAAGATTAATGAAACGATAATCACTCCTTTTTCAGACAAGACAAAAAACTTTACATCTATAGCACCACTCTCCGCATTTCGAAGGATTTCTCCATTTAGAGTGTGGTTGGCAAGAAAAGTTATTTCTCCATCGCTGAGAAGTAACTGTTCTGTTTTTGGAGCCCAAATGTGCCTTACTCTAGGACCAAGAATATTGTCCCAATAAGCAAAGGTAGCTGCTAATAAAGGTGATTCACCACTTAAAGCAATCTCTGTCTTGGCAACAGCTGGAGATGGTGGCGGGCAGAGAGTCGACATTACTGCATCCCAACTGTCACATTATCCAAATGCTTGCTCCAGAGAAATCTAAACAATGACATATAAAACCAGTGATTAGGTACAGCAATTTAAGGATATGCAACAAAACCCCAAATGATTTAGACATATGTGGTTTCTCCTCTTAAGTCAAAGACTTAGAAGCCTGTTGTCTCCTACCATGGCAGAGACATTCAACTAGCACAGTAGGTGCAAAATAAATGCTTTTTGATATGACAAATTTGAGACATAGTAACTTGTTCCTTATATTCAGAGAATACATTTAGAAAATAAAAAAAAAAAATGAACTACAAAAACAGCCTCTTTATATTTATATGAAATGCTACTTACTAAAGCTCATAGAACACTCACGATTCCCAAATAGGTAGTCTATGATGTGTAACTCTAGAATTATTGGCTACTTGACCCCTAAACCACAGCAACTAAAGAGGAGCAGAGAGGAGGGAGAAGCCTCAGCTAAAGACTGTGACACTTGCTGTGGATTGAATTGTGTGCCCCAAAAAGATATGCTCAAATTTTAAGTCGTGGTATATGTGAACGTGGTCTTACTTGGAAATAGCTGTAAAAAATGGGGTCATAATATAAGATTAGAGTGGGTCCTAATACAATGACTAGTTTGCTTATAAGTAGAGAGAGTTAGAAACAGACACAAAGACAGACATGAGAAGACAACAGGCAGAAACTCGAGATGCAACTATAAGCCAAGGAATGCCAAAGATTGTTGATAACCACCAGAAATTAGACAAGACAAGGAAAGAGTCTTCACTAGTGCTTCAGAGAATCATAACCTTTGTCAACACCTTGATTTCAGATTTCTAGCTCCAGAATTGTAACAGAATAAATTGCTGTTGTTTAAAGTCACTCCGTTTGTGGTACTTGTTCAGTAATCCTAGAAAAGTAATACAACATCTGACAACAGACATACTTTAAACCTGCTCAAAGGTAAGAAAAGAAAAAAAAAAAGCATAAGGTTGCAAAAACACAAGTCCGAAGTCAAAACAAAAAATGAGCTAACAGTTCTGTTATCCTCAATGAATCCTCTGGGTATCAGAATACCAAAACCCAATGCTGGTGTTTAAAATGACACCAATATATCAAGGCAAAGATAAATACATTTAGTATGCTAGTCAAGAAACAAGTATAGCATTTTAGCACTGTGAAAAGAATTCTATACTAAATGGCTAAAACAACAACAAAAAGCTTCAATTACTTAGAACATGCCAAAAAAAAAAAAAAAAAAAAAAAAAAAGAACTAAACAGGCCTGTTCAAGCCTTTCAATTTACTGAAAACAGACACAAAGAGTGAACAAGCTGGCAACTGAGCTGGAATCCAGGGCTCTCAGTCCCCTTGTTCAACTTGTCTTTATCTACACAAATACATCATGCTAAAAAGGTACATTCTGTGTAATACTAGTGTAAAGCTAATCGGTCTTGCAAATACAGTTGAGTGCCATATAATGTTTTAGTCAACAATGGACAGTATATACGATGGTGGTCCCATAAGATATCCTATTTCCTAGTGAAGTTATAGCTATCCCAGGGTCATAGCATAAGGTATTAATCGTGTGTGGTTATGCTGGTGTAAACAAACCTACTGTACTACCAGTAGTATAAACGTCTAGCATAATTATGTATGGTACGTAATACTTGACAGTGATAATAAACCACTATGTAACCAGTTTATGTTTTCATTATACTATACTTTTATTATTTGGGAGTATAAACTTCTATTTATTATTATCATTATTTTAAGAGACAAGGTATTGTTCTGTCGCCCAGGCTAGAGTGCCATGGCATGATCAGGGCCCACTGTAACCTCAAACTCTTGGGCTCTTACTCAGCTTTCTGAGTAAGTAAAACCATGGGTGTACACTATCAAGAACTGGATAATTTTTAATTTTTTTGTAGAGATGCCTATGCTGGTCTTGAATTCCTAGCCTTAAGTGATCTTCCTGTCTCAGCCTCCCAAAGTGCTGGATTATAGGTGTTAGCCACCACACCCGGCTCCTTCTACTTATTAAAAAAAAAAGTTAATTATAAAACAGTCTCAGACAATATCCTTATAGGGATATTGCAGAAGAAGGCATTGTTGTCATAGGAGATGACAGCTCCATGCCTGTTATTGCCCCTGGGACCTTACAGTGGGACAAGATGTGGAGGTGGAAGGGAGCAATAGTGATGATCCTGACTCTGTGTAGGCACAGGCTAGTGTTTGCGTTTTTAACAGAAAAGTTTAACAAGTAAAGCATAAAAATAAAAAATTTAACAATAGTAAAAAGCTTACAGAATAAGGATACAAAGAAAAAATACTTTTGTACAACTGTACAATGTGGGTTTTTTGAGTTGGAGTCTCACTGGGTTGTGTGTTAAGTATTACAATAAAGTCAAAGAGCTAAAAAAAACTTAAAAGCTTACAAAGTAAAAAAAGTTATGATAAGCTACAGTTAATTTTTTATTGAAGAAAAAAATTATTAAAATACAAGGGGACCCAAAAAAACCCGGAACTATCTTTTGGAGGGCAGGCTTCTCCCACTAGGTTAAGTGTTCTAGGAGCCCCTCAGCATCAGTGTACCAGCTAGCATTGTTGTGAGAGGCTGCATTCGGCTTCAGTGAGTTTTTGAAGGGAGATTCTTTCAATATGCTTTCACATTTGATGATGGGTGATTTACATAACGTGCGGCAGTAAAATCTTGTTTCCTTTGAGGTAACAGACGGCTTACAAAGATGCTGCTCTCAGTACAACTCCAGTTTATGAATGGTTTTCCCATTTTGAAAGAAGTGAAATGTCGACTGAGATCAACCTTGTTCTGGGCGTCCTTTGACCAGCCAAACCAAAGAAAATGTGCTAAGCATTTGTCATCTTGGAAGACTGCCGTCGGACTACTGATGAACTTGTGGAGTTGACTGGGTGTTGTGGAGTTCTTGTCAGCAAATTTTACCTGAAAATTTGGGCATGAGATGAGTTTCAGCAAAATTCGCACCTCACTTCCTTATGCCTGAATAAAGAGACAATCGCTTGGCTGTGTGCTGTGCTTTGAAGCAGCAGTTGGAGATTGATCCTGATTTTTTTCCAAAGTCATAACCAGAGGTGAATCTTGGTGCCAGGGTTATGACCCCGAAACGAAACAGCAATCTTGCCAACAGAAAACTGCCACTTCCCATGACCCAAAAAAATCACAAGTGAAGTCAAGTGTGAAAACAATGATCATTTGTTTCTTTGATATGAGAGGGACTGGGCACTCAGTTCCTCCAGATCAAATGGTCAACCAAAGTTTTGAGAAGGTTGCGTCATGATTTGTGGAAGAAATGTTCCAAGTTGTGACAAACAGGTGATTGATTCTTTCACCCTGACAATGAACCTGCCTACAGCACGCCGAGTGTTCCACAGTTTTTGACCAAAAAACAGCATGACTCCCAGGTCCCACCCTCCTTATTCAGCTGATCTCACCCAGAGTGACTTTTCTTTGCTTCCAATGAAAAAAGTCCTCAGTGGGAAACATTTTGCCAACGTGAAAGAGGTGAAACAAAAAACAACAGAAGCACTAAAAGGAATCAAAATTGATGAGTTCAAAAACTGTTTTGAACGTAGAAAAAGCACCTCAATAGGCACATTGTATCAGAGAGTACTTTGAAGGTGAATGAAGTTTAAATATGTAAAAATATACATTTTTTATAAATAAATTTCATTTTGGGGGGTCTACCTTTATAAATATAGTGTAGCCAAAGTGTACAATGTTTACAAAGTCTACAGCAGTATACAGTAATGTCCTAGGCCTTCATATTTACTCACCACTCACTCACTGACTCATCCAGAGCAACTTCCAGTCCTACAAGCTCCATTCATGGTAAGCGCTCTACACAGGTGTACCATTCTTTGCTTTTATTATATCTTTTCTATTTTAGATGCATAAATACCATTATGCTACAGTTGCCTACAGTACTTAGCACAGCACAATATATACAACTTTATAGTCTAGGAGTCATAAGCTATACCATGAGGCTTAGGTGTGTAGTAGGCTATACTATCTAGGTTTGTGCAGATATACTCCATGATGTTCACATAATGACATAATCGCCTAACAACATATTCCTTAGAACATATTCCTGTCATTAAGTGACACATGGCTGAGCCGTAATTGAAGACTTGTATTCAAAGGCTGAAAGGGATAAAAAAAATTATAACAAATTCATTTAAGGAAGTCTAAAAATGAGGAATCTTTATCATAGTAGTAATGGCTAATTGTTAAACTAGGATATACCTATTTTTGCCTATGTGATTGCTTTGGGAGCTAACATTTAATCTGTAATTACATTTATGTTAAAGGAAATCATTTTACTTAATTTTATCTACATTTGTCAAGAGAGTTCAGAGTCTGACGAAGAGCAGTGACTTCTATTTTTAGAAAATTTGTTGAGAACTTTTATCATATTGTGAGTAGGCATACAGAACTTGGAACAGTTAACTGCAGGTATGTGCAGAAATGGTTTAACAAAAAGATAGTTTTTACATGTGTATTTTAAGTTAAGACATTCATTTAGATAATATTATTTTTTATTGTTATATTAATTTAATAGTCTTAAGACACAACACTGGATATAAGCTGTTCAGCTTATTTAAAATATCCACTGTTTTTGGTACAATTTAAACAGTCAGTTTACGATGACGGAATATAGGAATGTAATCTGAATTGCAACTAGAATGATGCTACTGCTGTAATCATTAACAACAACAAACTGGAGACCAAGGTCATGAATTAAACACATGACTATAAAATTATATTGTAAACATTTTTCTTTTTAGATAAAAAGGCAAATATTAAAAAGGTAATGCTACAACTCAAATATTTCATCATTATACTGAAAATAAAAGTATTTTCTAAAACAGAATTGAGCCCTAGAGCGAAATCTTATTGAATTATGGGAAAAATGCTTAACTGATTGTGAAAATTGAACTATTATAGACCACTAATTACATTCAGTCTCACTCCTAATATAATTAGAAAGAAAATGAAGGACGAAGATCATGTCTAAGTGCTTAGCTTTATGTCCTGCCAACAGAAATACCCTGAGAAATGTAATGTCACAGAGAAGTATAATTAGGAGATTGTAAAATTATTTTACTAACACTTGACGCCGTCATCTCTGGTAAGAAAAATCCATATATACAAATGTGGCTGAAAAAAATAAGCTAAAAATCAATAGTTTTTTAAATATACATATCTTATGTACATGTAGTGGTAGCTACTCCAGAAGGTTAGCAAACATTAGCCACAGAGTCTTTTGAGGGAAGCCAGGATCCAAATTGGGTGAGATGGTGGCTTGCCACTCCTGTAAACAAAGCACAGGGTTCATGAGGAATTTGTCCAGTACATTTTCTGAAAATAATCTAACATATGCAGACATATGATTATATTAATTAGTATCTGTTAATATTGTTAGCAGAATGGCTAAGTTTGAGGTTTTACTTTTTCTTTAAACCTTTGCCAAAAATCAGCCATCTTTTCCCTGATTGGCATGTAGGAAGTTGGTTGGTCCATTGCAATTGTAAGGCCCTCACTTCTTATCACCGTATTTATTTTCTCCCAGCCCTATGAAGCAGGGGCCTAAACCAGTCCACTTTCCAAAAAAGGAGCTGTCCAGGGCCATTTAAAGACAATGAACTGCTTTAACAACAAAATGCTTGCAACACTTTCAAATTTTCAACACCAAGCCAGACTCAAAGATGAAGCTCATATCACTGGCCATCTTTCATAGATCCAAGTTTCTCAGACAACAGGCAGGCTACACTACCACTCCTCGGGATGAATTTAATAACATAAAACCCAAAGACAGGCTTGAAAAATAGCAGTCTTCATTGACTTAACTTCTTTCTCTGAAAGCAAATTTTGGACTGCCAACATAGCCAAATAGAAAGATTATTTTCATAAGTTGTTTGTAATTGTTTCCTGGAGCAGATAAGTGCTGGCTTAGTGCACAATCTGCAGTGGTCAGTAATTTCTCTTGTTTTTGTTTCAGATGAAGAAAGAGCACAGTCATCATGGGGCAGTTTCCAATTGATTCAGAGTTTGGCAGAGGTGGTGGTAACAGGGCCTGTGTAAATAACGCTCTCATATTTCAAGTATTCTGACTCCATATTATTAATATCCCAATATTATAGTATTGCTTCTCTGATGTTCCCAAATTATGTTAAAAGTTTTTCCAAAGTATGAGAAAGATCACATTTAACAGTATTTTCCAGTCCTTGTTTGGACCTTTTGTACAAAGTAGAAGCAATGCCAGACAGATTGTGTACCCAACTGTGTACCCTTGCTTTGCCCCACTGACGATGGATGGGAACTGTCTGCTAGGAATTTATGCACCTGCCACAACCAGACCGTGCCTCTACTAGAGCCTAACAATCTCTATTACTTCTGAAAAGGCCATCCTTCCGCAAGAGCATAACCTTCCTCCTTTTCCTGAATACAAAGCCTGGAGTTCACCGTGGCCAGACAGACCCAGTGTCGACACGCGTATAATCACTTCACTTCTTTCTGCAACAGATTACCCATCAGTCAAGTGATGACCGAGTCACAGTGGTCACTTCCTCTAAGTATGTGTAATCTTGAAGCTATGAAGCAACCAGGTCATGTCCCACAAAGTGGGCGTACACCTTGACAACTATCACAGCTGCCCACATATGCAAGACATCAGCACTCCTTGCAAACTTCTATGGAAATTCTGCAGACGGGTAGTACGTGCGCACCCCCATCCAACCCGCATTATCTCTCCCGATGGCAGGGACCTTCTGTTCCCACCAAACCCCGAAGTGGTCTGCAGGGCACGCACGCCGCCTGCCCTCTGGCATTCTCCCTGGCCAGGCCTCTCCGCGCCCGAGGCTCCTTTCTCTGCAGCCCGCAGTGGCAGCACTCCCTGGGGGTCCCCGCAGGCTCCCCAGGAAGGAGTCACCTCGGGATCTGCGGGCACCAAAGCGGGTCAGAGGCCGGATCCCCATCCCTGGTCTCTGCGCCGCCGCTGCTGGGAAGCCCGGGGCCCGGATGCAGGCAACTCCGCCAGCAGCTGGGCTGGAAAGCTTGTTATTGGGTTTCGGGCAGGGAAGGGAGACGAAAAGAAAAGACGAGCCGAATCCGGAGGAGAGTCCCCCACTGCCACCCCGCCTCGTCCAGGCTGCCCGACCCCAAACAGCCACCCACCAGGACGCCAGCTCTTCACTTACCCACTCGCCACCGCCTGCGCCTCCGCCGCCGCGGGCGCCAGGACCGCAACCGCAGTCCCGCCCCCGCCCCCGCCCCCGCCCCGCCCCCGATCACGCCTCCGCCCCGCCCCGATCACGCCCCCGCCTCTGGCCACGCCCCCGGCCCGGCCCCTCGCGCGCGCCTACGGCTCCCCCAGCCGCGTCACGCTGCGTTTATTCCCCGCCTCGTCATCTTTTGGTTAATCTTTACTAAACAATTCCTTGTTCACCCTCGGAGGAACTACGAGGGCAAGCGGAGGGAAGAAAAAGTAGGAGAAACAAAAACACCCACCTCCTAAACACACACGCCTCGCTCTACGTAGACTCCGCCCCCAGAGAGGAACCGGGCAGCGGGGTTGGAGGACGCGCCAAGCGCCATCTTGTACGTGGGCGGAAGGCGACGCCGCAGGACGAACCTGCGTTTCCTCGTGGGACACCGTAGGCAACGTTTTTGAGTTTTCCGTACGTGAGGACGTTAACTCATGAGGCCCGGGAGAGCTGGCGGGGCGAAGTTGTCCCCTCCTCTGGCTTCGGAGGCACCTTTTGCAAACGTGGGCGTCAAGTGCTGACCTCAGTGGAGGAGGGTGCTGGCCGCGGAGAAAGCAAAGCAGATTGGCTGGTTTTGCATGGTTTTGTTTGTGCTTGCCAGGTAATAGGCGCTCCGCAAATATTTGATGAATGAATAGCTGTTTCTTTTTCTTTTTGTGAACCTTATGGCCCTGTGAAGTCCGCTTAGAGCCCCACCCCAAACCCTCTCAGGCATTTTACTTGTTTTTCCCCCTCAGTACGTCGTCACCACAGTCTTGTCTTCTTTACACGCTTCTCCGGCGTGATTTCCACGCTTGAGAACGTCATTTTTGCTCATTGCAAAATATGGACGCGCTTTAAAAAATCTTCCAAAAAGTGTATTTTATCAAGCTGCTGATGCGTAAAAAGAGATAATTTTTTTTAAAACTGCAAAGCCTCCTCTGGGTCTGCGGGTGTGTATACGCGTATTCCACTTATCACTATAGTTGAGTAGCGTTTAACATATTATTATTATTATTATTATTTGAGTTGGAGTCTCACTCTGTCGCCCAGGCTGGAGTGCAGTGGCCGCTCCCGGCCACCGCAGCTTCGACCTGCTGGGCTCCGTCGATCCTTCCGCCTCAGCTTTCCGAGTAGCTGGAACTACAGGCGTGCACTACCACGCCCGGCTCATTTTTTTGATTTTATTGTAGAGATGAGGTCTACGCCAAGTTGCCCAGGCGGGTCTCGAACTCGGGGGCTCAGGCAGTCCACTCAACTCAGCCTCCCAAAGGCGCGGGATTATAGGCTGAGCCACCGAGCCCGGCTAACATGTTTCATTATTGAAAGTCGTACAGCCCTTTGTTATTCACAGACGAAGAAAGGGAGGAACACTTACACAAAATGACTCACAGGTACACCCTCTGAGAAACAGGCCCCTTACCCACTGTTCTGTGCTTTGTCAAAGCTTTGTAAGAGCATGGGCCATTCTTGTCATACTCCACAAAAACAGTGTCGAGAGGCAGGGGAGAAGCCCTCGGGACACTTAACATTGCTCCCAGGTTGTAATTCTCTGCTAGTCGGGTGTAACCCGAGACCAGTTTTATCTAATAATGCTCACTGAAATGACCTGCTGCAACTCAGACTCATTTGACCCACCGCCACCTCTGCCCATCGAAACTTGTCATGTCTCCAGATGTGAGTGGTAATGAACTTCCTCAAAGAGCATAGGTAATATTCCTCTTTTTGTAATGACACCTTCCACCTGACGTAATATTCCTCTTTGTGGAATAAAACCTCCCACCTTTTTCATTTTTGGACAGAGGACCACCTGGTGTGTGTTTTACATGCTCAACTGCAATTCTTACTTCCCAAATAAAACGTTAAATGTAGAGACTTGTCTCTACATTTTTATTTCAACTTTGACAGCTTATAACAAGTAGTTAACATTTATCAAGTTTCTGCACAGTGTTACACTTCCTGAATATGTGGAATTAAAAAAAAAAAATGAATACGGGAAACAGAGTAGAACCCCAATGGAGGGTGGTTAACAATACTGCTTTTTTTTTTTCTTGGAGGAATAAGCCCCTAAAAAACCCCAAACCAAAAACAATATTGTATACTGGAAATTGGTTAAGAGAATAGATTTTAGGTAATCTTATCTCTCTCACAGAGAGATAAGAAATGATGAATATGTTAATTTGCTTGACTGTAGCAATCACAATATATGTACATCAGATCATCAGGTTGCACAATTTAAATATATACAATAATAAAGAAAAGAATTTCACTGACACTGTACCATCTCTGGGATACAGATATTGTCATCCCTTTTTTTTTTTTTGAGTCGGAGTCTCACTCTGTCGCCCAGACAGGAGTGCAGTGGCCGCTCCCGGCCACCGCAGCCTCGACCTGCTGGGCTCCGGCAATCCTGCCTCAGCCTTCCAAGTAGCTGGAATTACAGGCATGCGCTACCACGCCCGGCTAATTTTTTGATTTATTGTAGAGATGAGGTCTCGCTGCCCAGGCGGGTCTCGAACCTGCGGGCTCAGGCAATCCACTCACCTCAGCCTCCCAAAGGCGTGGGATTACAGGCTGAGCCAACCAACCTGGCTCATCCCTTTTTTTTTTTACAGAGGAATTAATGGAGGTTCAGAGAGATTGAATTATTTACCCAAGGCCACCTTACTGATTAAGGACAGTTTTGTGCAATTCTAGAAACCATTGAATCCTGAGGACAACAGACTGGTACTAAGTTAATGACAACCCTTCTCAGATAACACCTATGGTAGTTAATACTAACATCGTCAGTTTAGAGTATGACTGGGGCTCCGATTAAGTGCCTGGGAGGAGACTACAGCTCCAAGAACGGTTTCTCCTACTTCAAAATTTTGCCTGGAGACAAAATAATTTCCCTTGTCTCCAACAGGTTTCTGGATTTGTTCATTATCAGCCCTAGAACAACTGTGTTTCCTAAGAGAAATTTAAGCCTTCTCTTAAATTTATAATGAAAGTGGCTCTGCATGCATGTTGTTTTGAGAAATAAAATATATAATGAAAGTGGCTCTGCATGCATGTTGCTTTGTGGCTGGTAAATCTGAATTTCCCTCCCCATCTAATCAAACAATGATTTAGTCGTTGTGTAGCAATACAGTAGCTTGTATATCTTTCATTGGACCCGAGGAAAAAAATTCAGGAGGGAAACGGTAATTATAACATAGTACACCGTGTTTCATAACACTTGTATTGCCTGAAGGGGTAAAAGAGTAGCACAAATTTTCTAACTCACATCCTGTCTTCAGGGGACCAAAGAGAAAGTGATATTGTCTAGTAATGCGATCTGTATTAACAACACAAAGGATGGCTTGCTTTAGCCCTTATCCCCTCCAAACTCAGTTAACCTGCCCAAATAAACCACCCAAAATAACAGTGCCATCTAAGTAAAAATAGGTTTTGTTATAGAAATACAGGGCCTTCTTGCTACATCGCCAGTGCTAATTGTTGTCAGGAAGCCTTTTCTCCTTTCTGTTAATGTATTTCAGTAATGTAATATGTGCTGCTGATTCAAAGCTGCGATGAGAGCTCGTTGATGAGCTCCTATTTACCCAGATTACAGTAAATTAGATTTAACTGTGACTGGCATGTGAACGATCTGATGTAGGACATGGATGAGGAATGTTGCTATATAAACCATAGTCATAGTGCATTTAATTTCTTTTAAGTAATGAGGTTTTATTAATCATTGCAAACTTATCAGTATGCACTTTATGGCACATTATCTTTTGGTTGGAATGTGAATAAGCCAACACCTACCTGAGGTGCTTTCAGGTAGAATCTTGGTTCCTGAATAAGTTAGGTCTGGGAGCCAGCCTGTGATAAAAATGGTTTAGAAAGGTTTTGTGAGTCTGTCTAGTGCCAACACCCTATACCTGTAACGCCATACAACGTAGGTGGTACCCCTGCAGGAGAACGTCATTAGGATCCGATATACATACATTTCCTTTCAGTGCCTCATGATTCTATAAACAATAAGCCAATAAGCTTTTCAATGAGAGGAATCACATCCTCTGTAAGGCATGAACACCTGCCTATCTCTTCCATATTGGTGCTCTGCACCTTATAAGCAACAGTTGTGAGTTATCTAAGGCCTGGAATACAGTCCCTGGGGAGAGGCAGTTCCTAACTTGCACAGTTTCATAAAACACACAACAAAGAGAACAAGAAGTAGAAAGATAAGCTCCCATAAATCTCAGACAAGATTACTGTCTTGTAGAAGAAGAGATAATTTGAAGTTGTGCCTTGTTAGATTGGTCATGATTTGATGGAATTTAGATGCAATGAGCAGTGCACAATGATGGTTTTGGTTCCCTCCTGCTTTATGCCTGAGTTACAGGGACCAACAGCAGAAAAGCCACAGAGCTCTCAGCAGCAACGACTCCCTGTTTAGCCATACACTTCCCCAATTCACGGCAGAATGACTCTCTGAGCACATCGCCTGGGCTTGCCCCTCTGTTGGCCACTCTCCGCATTACTTTGTGTATTTGCGCTTTATTATACTTACTGGTATGGTGCTTTATAAGGAAGTTCTTGAGTAATTTCATGCATGATATGAAAAACTGCCTCTCAACTTTATCATACTATTTGATAACCAGGACTATAGGCTTACGATATTCCCTGCTGACTCCTTTGTTTTTAGCACATGTTGGATGATTAGCAAATGCCAGTTGGCTGATTGAAACTTCATCCCAGCTACTCAGAATTATTATCCTTGGGCCAGGCTCCTGTGATGCAGTGGCTTCTTCTGAAAATAATTTTTGTCTTTAAGAGTCAGGGTCTTAGAGTGATTTAAAGTGAGTGAGAAGCTTTGGGGGAGCTTATATCTCTTTTCAACCTCAGCTTGACTCCTTTCCTACTTCTTGTTTAGCTTTATGATGTATTGACATCTAGTGGATTTTGACATCTACCCTTTTTCTTCTTTAAAATTATCTTGATAAACTTGGCCCTTTTTCTTCCATGTGAATGTAAGGACTGACTGGCTTATAAATGTGAGATTTCTGTTGGTGATGCTTTGTATTTAAAGTCCATTTTTTGTCTTTCTATATATGCGCTTACATCTTCTCTTATGTTCTTTAATTAGGTTTTATAATTTTGCCTAAAAAGTCACATCATATCTTTTGTGACATTTTCACAAGTTATGTTTTAACTGCATTGCTATTGAAAATTCCTTCTTCTAAAAGTGACATTTTTCATTGTTGCTAGTATTTAGCAACACAGCTTTGTAATGTTCACCTTGTATTTGGCTACATTACCAAATATTCTTAACTGGTTGTAAATAAATTTTTAAAAAACCGTCGCAATCAAAAAACAAAGTGAACAAGCCCCACTCCAAAAAGTGACTAATCATTTCACTTTTGTGTTCTTCACCTTTCAGTAGCTTCCCCAT